CCGATCCAAGGCCAGACCCTCACAGAATCCTGATCCAGATCCAGACCATCACAGAACCCTGATCCAAGGTCCAGCAGGGCAAACAGGTGCTAAAAATACCACCTGGTCTTGTTTGCTGACTGTGAACCAGGTTTTTATTTAGATGTCCTCCTGCTTGTCCACCTGATGATCCTCCTTGTGGTTCCCCAGGTGGTCCTCTTGGTGATCCTCCTGGTGGTCCCCTGGTGGTCCCCCTGGTGGTCCCCTTGGTGGTTCTGGTTGTCCAACTGGTGGTCATTCTGGTGGTCCTCTGGTGGTCCCCCTGGGGGTTCTGGTTGTCCCCCTGGTGGTTCTTGTTGTCCCTTGCTGGTTCTGGTGGTTCCCCTGGTGGTCCTCAGATGTGACAATCTTTGTCTTTCAATAAATCTTCATCACTTGAGTTTGTTCTTCTTCAATGATTGAACATTTTAAAGTTGAACATCAGTAAAAGACGTCCCCGTGTCCTTCATCAGGTGCCATCAGTAAAAGACGTCCCCGTGTCCTTCATCAGGTGTCTCCAGCTCTTGGATCAAAGGGTCCTCTTGTTCTGCCTGCTGGTGTTGTTGGACTTGACAGAGATTCAGATCTCATGTTCTCGTTTGAAGACCTGCCGTGTTTGTTTTAATTGGACGGAGACACGCGAGACAGACTTTGATCCTGGTCTGTCGAGTCAGACAGTAACGAGTTTCTGGACTTTCTGCATGTTTGACTCCTGAGTCACCGAGGCGTGACTCATGGCTGCAGGTGATTCTGCTGCAGGTGACAGGCTCTCAGCTTCACCAGACCCAGCTGACTGAAGATGAGTCACTTGGACCGTACGAGCTGCCGACTGATGATGATGACAAAAGAACAAACGGCTGATCGCAGCCGGGGTGAGGACCAGAACCTCCTGATCTGAGGTCCTGGTCCTCAGTCAGAGTGTGGAATGTCCAGGTTGGACTGATGTTCTGACTCAAGTGGAGGACTTCAAGTGTCTCTGAGGGTTTTTTTTCCACACTGAGGGAAGAATGAAGCGTGAAATCACCAGATGGACCGGAGCAGCTTTTGCAGTATTGTGGACTCAGCCGGTCCGTTGTAGTGAAGAGAGAGCAGAGCTGTAAGGAGAAGCTCTCCATTTACAGCTCGGTCTATGTTCCTACCCTCACCTCTTGTCCTGAACTCTGGGTGGACACTCAAAGAACCAGATCCAGGAGGTCTAAATGAGTCCTGTCTGCAGGGTAGCTGGACTTTCCCTTAGAGATGAGGTGAGAAGTTCAGTTCTCCAGAAGAGATTTGGAGTAGAACCCCTGCTCCTCCACATCCAGAGGAGAGAATTGAGAGGTTCATCTGGTAAGAATGGACCCTGGATGCCTCCTTGGGGAGATGTTCTGGATATGTCCAAATGAGTGGACATGCTGGAGAGACCACGTCTCTCAGCTGGTCTGGGAACACGGAGTTTTCCCAAAAGAGCTGAAAGAGGTCTCTGGACCTCCCTGATCTGATGCTCCCCCTGAGACCTGAGTCCAGAAACAGAGGATGGACCTTGTTCCTCATAATTCAGCATTAAATTGAATAAAGAGGAAATACTTCATGAAAAACGTGGAGGATCTCTGTGAACCATTTATTTCATGGCTGAGGCCACGAACTCTGATCCAAGAGTCAACCGAACGTCCAATGACCCCTGTTCAAGATGGCCGCCACAGCTATTCTTAATTTTAGTCAACTCAGCCAGTTTTCGAGATGTTAACATTTGGTGTGGTAGTAGCTGAGAGTCATCCCCAACACAGATGACGTCTTCGTGTTTATTCAGTTCCTGAAGTTTCAGTTTCTGTGACGGAGGGATGAGGCGTTCACTGTTCAGGAAAACGTACGGTTTTAAAATGATTCCCTCATTGTGTCGACGTTCATGCAGTAGTCATATGTCAGAGTGTCTTTGAACTCACCACCACAGAGTCACTATCTGAGAAAAGGTCAGCTGATTTTATTTAAGACTAGTACATTTTATAAATATTTACAGTTTCACACACCGTTAAAGGCAGGAAGTGGATTCTATAAATGTTTTTGTTTAACGAGGAACTTCCTGTCAGAACGCTGTATAAATTTTATTTTTGATTTTGAACAGTTCTGTAGTTTTGTATTCAAGTTGTTGGGAAATTTTTTAGATGAAAACTTCCTGTTTCTGTTGCAAAATGAAGGCAGAGTTGACCTGACGTGCTGCGTTCAGGGACACTCGGGTGAGTTAAAGGAAGCTGCAGCGTTTGCGGTCAGTTATTCTGTTTCTGACTAATTTCTCTTCTTTATTCACGACGTGGAACACTCTGTTTCTGCTGCGTCAAACGTGGACGTGTTGGCTTTTATTTTTACATCTTAGTAAAAAATAAAACAACATTTAAAAACGTGTGAGGATCCGAGCCCAGCCGTAACATCCAGAGCAGCGAAGGTGGTTTTGTGACTAATTTATGTATCTTTAGTGGTTAATTTTAATTACTGTCCTGGTTTTATTTTTGCTTGTTTTTAGGAGGACATGACTGCAGTTTTAAGTCTCGTCAATTTTATTACAATTCTTACTAAAAGAGACGGATTAATCAGCTGACTGGTTTTAAACAATCTGTAGTTTTCCACAGCTGTACTAAACTAATCAATCAGTTATCAAGCAGGAAAATGAAGAAGCAACTCACTTTAACCCTTCATTTAGTTTTCTATGGGAATGTTTTAACTTTTATTATTTTAAAGCTCAAAGTTCTTCAAAGGATTGTTAAATACATCTGTTTTATTTTGCTAAATGAAAACATGTAGAGAATAAATTATAATCTGTATTATTGGTCATCGGCTCTGATTTCTGCGCTGACGTCAGCGATGGAAAACTCCCATCACAAAAACGCTCATTTTCTCCTGCTTCTTTACATTTTGATGCAAATTCTTGTGTACTCTTTAACTTGTTTATGACCTGTCTTTGTGTCGTTAACATGGTTGCCATGACAACATGGTTACCATAAATCTGCCCTGTGTTTCGTTTGTCCTCAGGCTCTGGACGTGGACAGATCGATTCTGTTGAAGATCAGGAAATCCTTGAAGGCCATCAGCGCCTCTGGTCAGGGTGAGTTTCATGTCAACACTCGACTCACCAGGAAGCAGCACTCTGTCTCACACTTTCTGTCACTCTGTCTCAAACTTTCTGTCACTCTGTCTCAAACTTTCTGTCACTCTGTCTCACACTTTCTGTCACTCTGTCTCAAACTTTCTGTCACTCTGTCTCACACTTTTTGTCATACTGTCTCACACTTTTTGTAACTCTGTCTCACTTTCTGTCACTCTGTCT